GGAGTGTAGCTTGCAATGTCGGGGGTAATGGCCGCCTCTTGGAGCCGATGAAGCAGACTAGTCACCTGCAAAATTCATATATATTGGGGTGGCGCTGGTGAAGCGCGACTGGTTAAGATTATGGGCAGGTGGTTGCTAATTCCTTAGCTCAGCCATATTTTGTTGCACCGCCTGTGCAACCATTATTCTGATCATTTCCACCAGCTGGCCATTGTCGGGATTTGACATCCTTGCCCCCTGGTTATTCACAACGTGCTAAGTTGTTGGCACGGGTGGTCAGCATCCAGCGGCATCCTGTTGTACCTCCTAATGGGCGGTTTCCACATTCTCAAGGTTTCCGATGGTGGTATTTGATCTGGTGTGCACCATTGTGGGCTTGGATTAGGTAGGCTGTCGTGACTGTTCACAAGAATTGTTGTGATATTGGTGGAGGCCCTCCTTGTAGTGCCAAAATGTTGGTACAAAAATCTGCACTAACCAGAGAATTCTAATCGACCTTGGTGGGACCAAAATGGATGTGCGCGTGATTATGTGTAATCAGCAGTGGGTGAATAATAAATGCAATAAAGTAAATGGCAAAGAGATTTTTAAAGTGGTTCGGTGAGGCAAACTCTTGAGCCTACGTCCACTGTTTTCTGTATTTACTGTGACGGCTTACAAGGTAAATTCTCTATCAAAGTCGTAACCCCTTTTTCATCATTTTTGGGGGTTTATATACAAGGTTTGTACAAAGGAAATAGTGAAAATAAAGGGATCACAATTGATCTGAACTGCAATTCCGATATTCTCACGATTGGACACTATGATCGCGTTGAGATTGATGTTGATTTGGTCATTCCCACGATATCTAGGATCTTAAGATATCTGGGAATTGATTGAATGATCACTCGAGTTGTCCGCGACTAGCTTATGCTGGGTCGAGCTATGTGTTAATGAGCATATGTTGGGTTGGACAACCGGTGGAGTCAAACTGGTCATGGATCGAGCTATATCCTCGCGGTTGCCCAAGCTTGGTGGAAAAATCAGACACAACATCAAGAATGGGAACAAACCTTCTTGAATGCTAAACCAACTCCTTTAAGGTTATAAATTTTTTAAATTTGTTACACAAAACTTTGTAAACTTATAATGTGAAATTTATATCGTACACTTATATTGAATTATATAATAACCAAAGTCGTGATTTCATTAATCTAGCTAAACCCTTCTTTTACCATTCAATTGATTTATTTCGAAATTCTTCAATGATTTATTTAAAAAAAAATTTGAAAAGGTGAAATTTATGAGTCTTTTTGCCAGATCTCTCAGTTCTCACCCCTTTCTCTGCGTCTGGGCCAATCAAGAAGGGTAATATTGTCTGTCAACACAAAACAAAACCCATTGAAGATTAAATTTAAGGCCTTGTTTTGTGTAGCAGCAAAATGGGGGTGTTAAGATATAACATTAGGGCACTGGCAAGTGGCAATGTTATTGTTGGCTCAACGGGAGGCCCCTTATTGATTCAATCTTCAATTTGCATTATGAGATATGGCACTATGAAACCGTCTTTTGTTTTTAGCAAATTTTAGAAATTGTTGTTTTGTTTTGTTTTCCAAAGTAAAAGATATTACATAATGGAATCGGGCATTGCAAGATGGGATTTTAATGTTTTAGGAAATGAAGCTTTACTCTCAAAATAGAAAGATTATAAAGCATCAAATCCCAACTAACTTCCACAATATTAGACTTTCCAAATGAAATGAAATCAAATTATAACAAGTTTAAGCGGCAAAGCAACGTCGTTTTTGCCTACACACGAAATGAAATGACACAATTAGCGATACCTTCTCTTTTCAACTTGCGTTTACAATTCCCATCTGTCATTGCACTGCTAAACAGTAAACACTCGCCACTATTTCTTTTAACAAAATAAATAAATAAATCAATATAAAATTGTAAGAAATGTAAACAAGATACTTGAAGTTAAAATGAAATTTTAACATTGAAGATTCTTTCATTGGAAGCACCACACTCTTTAGAAAAGAAAAATGACAAAATCACTATCCACAACATAGAAACGTGTTCAAAAATAAGTAAAATCTAATAGAAAAAAAGCATGCCCTTTCACCAACTCAACGAAAGCCTTGTAATAATCCTTCTCATCATGGCCTATAATTTCATCGTTCTGTTGAGTGTCGTAATAATCCTCCTTATCATGTCCTTGAATCATGAACGATAGCAACTAATTCCGAACTACATGTAAAACAGTTGCCACCTGTGGCACAGGCAAGAAGGGGTATAGGGCCCTCTCACACTTCAAGCAGGATGATACGATCTTGAGCGTTTCTTACACAGACAGTGGTGCAATCAGAGTTTGTGAAGCAATGTTTCGAATAATGCTTGTGAAATTCCTACGAGATTAAAAGAAATACCAATTATTATTATGATCACTTAATTAATATTATGAATAATTTACAAGTGGTATAATATTTTATGTATAATCAAATCAATTACCTCTTAAAAGCATTAAGAATTTGTGGTTAACAATTAATCATTATTAAGTAGTAGGGATTCCGTTAAAATTAATCCTAAAACCATCTGTTATTGATTCCTATTATTTTGGTTACTCTGTTTAGAGTCAAAAAAGTTTATCTTCATAATAGCGTTAAAATCCTGTTATAACTTGGTTTTAGGAATCAAAATTTACTGACTGCGCAGAACCGGTCAAAGTTGGTCAACAATCAGCTAACGACTAGTTTTGAGTATTAATTACTAACATAATACAGATTTGAATGTTATAACAAACTAAACGAATTCTAAGTTACATGCAAATGGAGCTGAATGTTATAACAAACCAATTATTCTAAGTTGCATGAGAATTGAGCCGAATGTTATAACAAATCACTTATTCTAAGTTGCATGCAAATGGAGCTGAATGTTATAACAAATCATTGATTCTAAGTTACATGCAAAAGGAGATGTAAAAGAGGAGAGAGATTACGAAATTAGATGATTAATTATCAAGTCAAATATGTATAAATACTTACTCCTTTCACTTCTTTTATAAAACAAATTCCACAAAACAATCTCTACTCTTTCTCTCATTAGCTCATTCATAATGGCTAGCGTCGAAGTTGCTAGCAATGTCGTCTACATCATTGGTAGGTTATATTGCGTGTTTTTTATTTGTTGCTATGAAAAAACATGACTTCTTGTATGTTCGATCACTTTTTTTTTGTTTTAATAAAATATTTTATTTTGGTGCAGGGAATGTCTTCTCCATTGGCCTCTTCCTCTCGCCATCATAAACTCTTGGGGCCGTTTGTTTATTATTTTTCTCTATCGTATTAATACCATTTCCAAAATACACGTTTGTTTTCCTATTCTGAAAATACTATTATATTTTATTTAACAATTTTAAACCCCCTAAGTTTATTAATTTAACTAAACACCCCTGAAAAAAGTTTATTAATTGACAAAAACACCCCACCCACCCACATATGCCAGATTATGGCCACCACTGGCAGAAGGTGACTAGAATCTGGTATAATGGCGCACTACCAGCTGGATCTGGCCAGTAGTGCGTAAAAAAAGCCAGATCTTTGGTCGTAGTTGGTCTTCAACGATGGCCAAGACATGGTCGTCGTTGACCATCAATAACAGCCATATCTTTGGCCTTCGTTGACGACCAAACACAGCTAGATATGGCCTTTTTCGACCAGATCCACCGCTAAAAAAGGCCATCTCAGTGCATGACCGGCCAGATCTAGCCAGTCATGAGCCGTAACGCCAGATTCTGACGATGGTGGTCGGAATCTGGCAATTATGTCTAGTGGGGGTGTTTTTGTCAGTTTACAAATGTTTATATATTGGGGTGTTAAGTTAAATTAGCAAACCTATGGGGTTTTTTTGTTAATTTTTAAATTCTACCTCGTAATAATCACCCAATTCTACCTACCAATAATATTTCAAAAATACTACTCAAAATAATAAAACAAACACACATTATTTTTGATATTTTTAGAGTTGGGTGGGAATAACGAGGAAAGATTTGAAAATTAACAAAAACACCCCTGAGGTTTGTTAAATAACTGAACACCCCTGTAATAAAAACATTAAAAATTAAAAAAACACCCCCATCCATCCATTAAATTTCAGCAGACAGCCATCACTGCTGGAGGGTGGCCGGAGTCACCGTATCAACACACGACCGGCTGGATCTGGTCGATCGTGCGTTGAGATGGCATTTTCTAGCCAGATCCACCATGGATCTGGCGGGAAAAGGCCAGATCTACGGCTTTGGCCATGTTTGGTCGTCATAGCCGTCATTGACGACCAGCTACGGCCAAAGACGGCCAGATCTTTGGCCATGGATCTGGTCGAAAATGATAGATCGACGCACTACCAACCAGATCCAGCCAGTAGTGCGCCATTATACCAGATTTCGGCCACCTTCTGATGGTGGTGGCTAGAATTTGGCAAATGCAGGTGGGTAGGGGTGTTTTTATCAATTTTTAAACTTTTTTTTGAGGGTGTTTAGTTAAATTAATAAACTTCAGGGGTTTAAAATGTAGTTGAAGAAAATATAATAGTATTTTTAGAATAGGGAAACAAACTGATATTTTGGAAATAGTATGAATAGGATAGTTAAAAATATTTAAACAAACAGACCCAAACATACCATTATCAAATTGTTTTATCTAAAGCCTTAAAAACATGATCAACTCATCTACTATGCTCATTTCAAATTCATTTTTCATTAAGACAACAAATTCATCCAAATGAGTTTGAGATGTGGATCCAAAAACAATGTCATCAACATATATTTATGCACATAAAAACTCACCATTTAAATGCTTAATAAAAAATGTTTTATCAGCATTATCTCTCTTGTAGTTGTGATCAAGGAGAAATGAGGTGAGCCTCTCATACCAAGCTCTGGGGGCCTGTTTCAACCCATAAAAAGCTTTCTTCAACTTGAAGACATGGTTTGGTTTGTGAGGATCTTGAAAACTAGTAGGCTATTCTACATACACCTCTTCCATCAACATCCCATTCAGGAAGGCATTCTTTACATCTATCTGGTAAAGCTTTATGTTCAGGCAGCATGCAACTGCTAACAAAAATCTGATAGACTCTAGTCTGGCCATGGGAGCAAATGTCTCATCGAAGTCTATCCCTTCCACTTGAGTGTATCCTTGTGTAACAAGTTTGGCCTTGTTTCTAACAATGTTCCCAAACTCATAAAACTTGTTCTTGAAGATCCATTTGGTTCCAATGATGTTTATTCCTTTGGGTCTAGGAACCAAGCTCCACACATCGTTTCTCTCAAATTGCTCAAGCTCTTCATACATTGCAAATATCCAACAATCATCCTCCAGAGCTTGCTTTGCATTCTTTGGTTCTACAAGAGAAACATAACCCCAATTTTTTTGATGCATGGAGTATTTACTTGCCCTTGGAACAATTGTTGGATTCTCTATTCAGCACTTGCTCGCCCTTGGAACCATTACTAGCTTTTTCATCAGCACTTGCTTTTCCTTGGAAGCATTGTTGAATTCCCCATTCAACACTTGATTTTCTTTGGAACCCTATTTGTCTTTGGCCATTTCATTTAAAGCTGATTCTCAAGATTATTGAGTGAGTGTCTACTTCATGAACAATTAATTTCTATTATACAAGTAATGAACCATGATATAACTAAAATATGTACTGAGGTTATGAGCAGTTGAAAATTAAATAATTAACATCTCTTTTGCAATTACCCCCTTACCTATTTGCTTAAGTTTTTAGAACTATTAAAAGTAAGGGGAAATACCGTTGGAAGACGAGCTTTTAGCTCAAGGCTAATTAGAAGGAATTGAGAGGATAAGTGTTTTATAAGAGAGGATTACTATTGCTTTGTCACCCCTTTTATAGTGCTCAATGGAGCCTTCTAAGCTCCAACTTCCAACTACCATCTACCTTAATAAATATTATCTATCACCTTCTACAATTAATAGCTATCTAACAACTCCCTAGTAAACAGACTTGGTAAAACAGGTCCGAACTCACGGGTCGACCCATACTAGGGCTAAAAATATAGGATACGAGTCTAATGCATTGGACCCATTTTTTCTAGACTTGTACCCAGCCTAACCCAACCTGTATTGCCAGTGGGTTAGGCAGGTAAACCCGTGGGTACCTATTTGTTATTTTAAAAAGTAAAAAAAAACCTAAATTGAAAATTCGAAATCCCCAATCCTAAAAGTCTCTCACTCATCTCAACTCTCCTCCCTCCCTACTCCTACACAACAAACACAACTCTCTTCTTTCACACCATCATTGTTGTCATTGCCATCTCCTTTCTCACATCGTCACACTGTCACCAACAGTCCTCCCTAGCTCTCTGCCACACAAATGCAACTCTCTTCTCTCACATCGTCACCGTCGCCATCGACATCTCCTCTCTCTGATTATCCCTGTCACCATCGACATCTCCTCTCTCACATTGTCGCTGTCGTTGTCGCCATGTCCTCTCTCACATCGTCACATTGTTGCTGACCGTCCTCCCTCCCACACAGACGCAACTCTCATCTCTCACATTGTCAAGTAACAATGTTTCCCTCTTTGGTCTTTTGAGCGCATTACAGAATTTTCTTACTTCTCTTTTCACACACAATTCACCAAACCATTTCCAATCTCAAAAACCTTTCCATCAGTTGACAGAGAGAGTGAGCAAAAGTTTTCTTGCTTGTAGAAAGTAAGTGTTAAGAGGTGAAGACTGCCCTGAATCGCAAACTACAAGTAACAAAAATCCACCTATGTTTATTCTACAAATTCCTGAAACCCAAATTTTGATCACTAATGTTTTTCACATTCTTTTGACTTGAATATGCTTGTTTTGGATCTGAAGTTTGGATTTATAATATACCATCTATATTAGGTAGACAAAGCATATATATTTTAAAAATTTTCATATTCATTGGCATCTAAAGTTTATCCAAAAGTGCAAAATCTCACTTGTTGTTTACAAAGACTTTGAATTCAACAGTATATATATTTCTATTATCTTGTTCTGAAATCTGAACGATGCACTGTTTAATTAGCTATAGTTTATTTTAAGTTCAAATCATCAACACACATACCTATAAATCAATTGTCAGAACAACTTTTATAATTTTTAAGAAATCTACTATTCGAATTATCTTTTTCAATCCAAAAAGATTTGAACATCTTTTACTACCTAATATTGGCTTCATGAGAAGCACATGACATCTTTTGTCTCTTTCCTTTACTTATTATTATTGGTAGTTGTTAAATCATCACTGCCCTAATTTGGTTCAGTAATAATATAAAGAGTAAATGAGCTTTTAAGATTGTGAGAATCGTCTAATCTAATCTCATTACCTGTAAATCGATATGTCCTATTGTGGGCTATTTTGTAAAGGTGTTTATTGTTTGCTCCCACTAATATACTCTTTAACAACATTTCTTAATTATTTATTTTTTGTTCAAGTACTCTAAAACATTGACATAGCATATTTTGAGTCTATAGATATGGATATGGTTAATATCAAAGAAAGTGATGATGTTTCTAAGTTAATGTCGCCTCCTTCCAATACTAGTATTCCTACAACTAGTTCTAGAAGTAAACATAAAGTATCAGAAGTTTGGAATTATTTTGATACATATTTTGATGAGAATAAGAAAAAGAGGGCTAGGTGTAAGGGGTGCAATAAAAGTTATGCATATGGTAGTTCCACTCATAGGACTAAAAATTTGAAGCGCTATATAGGAGACTATCCAAAACATGGCAATACTAATGTAAGGCAATTATTGATTGATCATGATCATAAATTGCAAAGTAGAAAGATTAGTCAAGAGACTTTTTTCGAGAAGATGACATTATCAATTATTCAACATAATTATTCATATTTATATGTGGAGAATCAAGGAACTAGGAATGTCTTTTCGTATGCGTGTAAGGATCTTAAGTATTATACTAGGAACACCGCTAAAGCGGATTGCTTAAAAATATATGAAATGATGAAGGAAAAAACTAAGCTTGAATTAGGGAGGCTTACTAGTCGAATACGCTTAACTTCTAATGTTTGGACTTTTGGTGCAATTGAGGAATACATTTCTTTGATGACTCATTACGTAGATGAGAAGCAGGTGTTACAAAGTAAAATACTCAACTTTTGTCATAATCCTCCTCCATACTCAAGGACTATTTTGGTAGATAAAGTTATGACTTTCTTATAAGAATAGGGAATTGAAAAGAAAGTTTTCTTAATTACATTGGACAATGCAAGTAGTAATGATAGGATGGAGAATATCTTAAGGAACCAACTTTGTGTGCAGAATTTTTTGTTATGTAGGGGTGATTTTTTCCATGTGCGATCTTTAGCACATATCTTGAATCTTATTGTTCAAGAAGGGTTAAAAGTTACTAGTGTGGCTTTAAATTAACAAGATTTGAGATAGTTTGAAATATATTAAAGCAATTGAGGCTAGAAGAGAACTTGTTGTACAAATGGGTGTGAAAAGCTCAATAGGGTTGAGATTGGATGTTTCCACTAGATGGAATTCAACTTTTTTAATGCTTGAAACTGCGTTATTATCTCGTCCTATGTTTGTGGCTTTATCAACAATATATCTCAATTATAAATTTTGTTCATCAAATGAAGAATGGGATTGGGGGGGAGAGAGGAGAGGATATGCAAGTTCTTGGAACCATTTTATGAGATTACAACGTTATTGTCGGGTTCGAAATATCCTATAGCAAACTTGTACCTTAAATGTGTGTGGGAAATTCAATTGCATTTAATTGAAGAGAGGATGAGTGAGGATGAAGTTATCAGGAGCATGGTGGAACAAATGATCCTAAAATTTATAAAATATTGGGATTCTTATAGTCTTGTGTTGACTATTGCAACTATTCTTGACCCACATCTCAAGTTTCAATTTGTGGAGCATGGTTATAAAAAAGTTTATGATTTAACTACTGCCAAACAAAAGATGAAGGTTGTTAAGAATAATTTGCATAGGCTTTTTCAAGCTTACGAGGTTCAATGTTCCAAAGAAATTCCCACCTCACCTTCAGTTGTTTCTCCTACGAGTGGTCTTACTCATGGTAGGCGTGTAGATCATAGTTGTGTAAGTCACTATACTTTTTATATTCTTGTGATTAATAAAGTATTGTTTATGGTTTAATTTTAACTTTTGATACTTAAATATTTAAATGGTGTAGGATTTTGACAACTATGAAAGTGAATTTATTACCACTAAGAAATCCGAATTGGATCTTTATTTGGAAGAGACAAGGTTTGATCGCATCAAACATCAGAATTTGGATATCCTGAAGCATTGGAAGAGCAATTATGATCGTTATCTGGTACTTGCCATGATGGCTCATAATATCATGACAATACCAATAACATTCATTGCTTTGGAGTCTGCTTTTTGTATTGGCAATAAAGTGCTCAACAACTATCGAAGCCCACTTCAACCAAAAAATGCAGAATCTTTGATATGCACTTGGACTTGGCTATAAGGATATGAGTTTACAAATAACATGTTAACATAATATTTCATATGTTTTATTATTTACATTTATTAATATTTCTAGTTGATAATTGTAGATGATGATGTGAATGATGATGCAGATGATGATCTTGATGTGCCATTAACTAATTCGGGGATTACGGAATCAAGAGACTGGTACTATCACCCCAACTGTGGAATGAACATGAGTCGGACAAGAATATTTTTAGTTGAACAATGTCAAGTCAAGTCAAGTTAAATTTATCTTATGTCTTTCTATTTGTAATTTTGTGTTTAGTATTTGTTTTTGTGTATTAGTGATGATGTATTTGTTTATTTTGGTTGGTATTTGTTTTTGTGTACTAGTAATTAACTAATTATGTATTTGTTTATTGCTGTTGGTATTTGTTTATGTGTATTAATGATTATGTATTTGTTTATGTGAATTGAATTGAATTGAATTTAGAGTAGTTTATTGTGGGGGTGTAATTGTAAAAAATGAAAATTACAGAAATTTTGGGGGCGCAACTATAAAAATTGAAAACTAGAGAGAGAAAAAGGGTACCCCCAAATCCACCCATACCCGCATAGGGTAGGGTCTGGGTCCAATATTTTGGACCCGTTTAAATTGACGAGTTTTGGACCCGACCCTAACTCGGCCCACTCGCCTGTTGTGCCAAGTCTACTAGTAAATGAGATACAAGCTTTATATTGGGCTTAGGAAGAAATATTAAGTTAGCAATCTATATGGGTTTAATTGATAAACCCAAATATTCTTGGGCCCAAACTGAGTTTAATATTCAAGGGCGTGGGAGGAAATAAGATTTTTTATTTTTTTTTTCAATATATTAAAAGTTAGGAAAACAAATTATGGGTTCTTCTAAAATTTGATTTTTTATTTATATCTAGTTTT